GTGATTACTAAAGCTCTGATTTGCTATTGTTTCAGTAACTGGGTGATTGTCAAATATTACAGTACTATGTTTCTATGCTACTTTATTCATGGGTGTTATTTTACAACTTATTGTATCTATGTGTACTTACTGAGTTGGTCACTGAGTTCTAGAAAAGAAAGTCTCTAACTAATGTTAAAACTTCAATCTGTGTTTACTTCAGAAGGAATTTTTAGATAATGCCATTAATGGGCGAGAAAAGCTGCAGTTCTACAAATACATGGCAGTGAATATAAAAGAATTTTACTGCTATTGAAGGCAAGATTGAGTCTTTTAACCACAGTTGTAGCTGTTGTTTTTCTACAGGTTCAGGTGGAAATGCTTAGAGAATGTAACTCTAGGGAGAAGACATCTAAGTTAAATGAGATGATTTTTTTTTTTTTTTTTTTAATTTGGTTTGATTTTTTTGAGACAGCGTCTTGTTGTGTAGCCCAGGCTGCCCTTGAACTGGCAGCAATCCTTCTGTCTCAGCCTCCAGATACTGGGATTACAAGCATGCGCCACCATGCCCAGCTAAACGGGATGACTTTTATAATCATTTTTACTCAGAAATTCTGTGACTTAATCAGAATTGTGCTCCATAGCTTATAGCTTTAGAAACTGGATTTATGTTAATTAAATTAGTAACCCGGTAGAAAGTATGGCTCTATCCAAGAGAAAGTTCAACAAGGTGACAGTATATTTATCTTGTCTATTTTGGGAGTTTATTTTTAAAAAAATCTTAATTTAGAAATATGTCTTAATGATCACAGCGTCTTATTAGCAGTGATAGTTGTCGTATTTTGTGATGCACAACTAATAAAGAAAACCTCTATTACATAAATGTTTGTTTCATAGGACTGTGAGCATCTTGAAGGCAAAGGTCTGGTGCCTTCAGCTTGCTGTCCTGACTGCCTGGTGTAGTGGAGCCTGGCGTGTCCTAACATGTAGCTGTGGTTGCATGAGTGAAACAGTGGAGTAATTATGAAGTGACCTTAGGGACTTTCTTACAGCATTGTGACGTTTAAGAAATCAGGGATTCCTGGGGCTGGGGATTTAGCTCAGCGGCAAAGCGCCTGCCTGGCAAGCGCAAGGTCGTGAGTTCGGTTCCCGGTACCGGAGAAAAACCAAAAAAAAAAAAAAAAAAAAAGAAATCAGGGATTCCTTTAACCTCACCAAATCTTTAATGTGAAGTTTTTGTTTTCATTTTGTTTTTACAGTGCTGGGGTTCAAATCCAGGGCCCAGATTTGCTGGGCCAGTGCTCTCCCACTGAGCTAATCCCCTGTGCTTAACACTGAGTCTTTACTACTACAAAAAAAGCAAGCAATGTGACTTAGGAGAGAGTAGGCTTTTTTTTTTTTTATGGTCTCACTAGGCTCTGTAGGCTAGTCACCAGCATGTGGGCTCAAGCAATCCTCTTACCACTCAGGAGCTGGACCCCAGCTGGGTTGCAAGATTACCAGAATGGAACACCACACGCAGTAGTTTTTCTTTTCTTTTTTTAAGGATACATATTTCTGAAGGATTGTGAGCTATTTCAGTACAAAAATTTTAACTAGCTCTCTTAGTGGCAAATAGCTGGTTTCAGGCAAGATTCAAGAACAGTATTCAGGTAAGCAGTGCTAGAAATATACTTGTCTTTCAGTTCCACTTTCTGTCAGGAAATTTTGGTGTTTGTTTTTATAGACAGGATCTCACTCTGTAGCCCAAACTGGCCTAGAACTTGTGATCTTCCTGCCTCAGCCTCCTGGCATTAGTTACAGGCATGTGTTACTGTGCCTGGTTTAAAAAGGATCTTATACAAGCAAAGATACAGAAATCCGCTACAGAGTGGAGGACTGCTACAAACAGGGTCCCCATGCTGGGTGCCTGTGGCTATGTGTAGCATGCACAGCATACACAGGGCCTGACAAAACAGCCTGAGCTCATGAATTACATTTCTTTACCTTCAGGCTTTTTTACTATTACAACATAATCCATGAGAAAGTTATTTTTACATTTAGTAAAATGACAAGTAAATTAATGAATATAGGTTTCTTAGAATGTATTATTTAAAGGTGCTATGAAAGTACTGTTTTCTTATCAACAAACTGCTTAGGGCAGTAGTTTCACGTACTAATTTAAAATACTAAAGTAGTTCATTGTTCATTAACTCTAGCTTCTTGCAGGCATTACTTGGTAAGACTTGTATATGACTACTTTTATTTATTAGAAAGTAAGTCATTTAAAGATCATGACTCAGACTTCATACAGCCCTTTGATATGAATTACAAATGATCCCTAATTTATATGAGTGACTGGGGTAGTCTGGTAGAGAACCAAGATTAATATCTTCTCTTGGAAGACAAGGGAAGTTTTCAACGAGGAGGAAGTGGTCAAAGAATCCAGTACTAATGAGAAGAGGTAATAAAAGTATGTTCAATCTGATGATACATCTTTGGCTTTTGAGAAAGATTCAATGGCATAAAGCAATTGAGGCAGCAATTAGAACGTTTGAAAGGAAGTGGTTTTAGACGACTCCTTTGGAAATGTGGCCTCTGAAATCATAGGGACAGTGTGGACTTGTCATCTTGATCAGTGGAGATATAAAGGAGATGGTGACAGACGACTGTGAGGCACAAGTTTGGAAAGGTTGGATCACACCACTTTGTCATTCTTAGCCTTGATCTTTGTGTTGTTTTACTCCCCCAGACGTTGCCTTGAGTTCTTTAATAATTCATCGTATAAAGAATAAAGAGCTAAAGGGGCAGGATCAAGTATTAAAATGAAACAAAAGGGTAGGGCTGTCTTGTGTAGACCAAATGGACAGACACATCTCTACATTTAATTTAGAAGACTTAATTAGAACTTCTCTGTTGTCAGTTTCTCTCAATAATGATATATGGTAAAAAATGACATTAGTGCCCTGAGAACTGCTAGCTTTGTAGTGCTTTTGTCATCCTAGCATTAGAAGTTAAGCTCCAGCTTGTATTACTTCTGTGTATCAGCTGGACATCTGAGTGCAGTTCCTACCAAACTAGTTTTCTGTTATCAGTGGTAAGAACAGGATTTGGGTAGCTCTGAAGAGTGGTTATTAGGTCTAGGAAGACTCACAAAGTTCAGAAACTAGTTGAATGCGTAAGAAAAACATCTAACAGCTAAGATATGGGAGTTTTAACTACTAAAATTGTGGTTGGATCATATTTGCTGTGTTTTCAACTGTCCATGATCAATTCCATAATGAAGAGAAATCTGTTCTGGCTGTTACTTTCTTGGGAATTACTGGGACCCTTAAATGGCCCAAGGAGGAAATACATACTTTAAAACAGGGTACCTGAAAAAAAACAAAAACAAAAAAACAGGGTACCTGGAAGCAGCTGAGGGATAATCCTAAGCAAAACTGTGAAAGTTTAATTACTCCTGCAAGTAACCATAGTTTTCCTTTCCTGTGATGTGTTCTCAGAAAAGGGTCTGATCAGTTCATTCACATTAAGGACTATAATGAGGAGTATATTTCTTTTGGGCTTAATTTGTTTAGAGGATTCAATTTTTATCGAAGAGGACTTCAATTAAAAATCATTGACTATATCCTCCGTTTTAGATGATTTTAGCAATACTAGCCTTCTATTTAGCAATTAAGAAATCACCCTTTTGTAGAATTCACTCTGTTCATCAGAGTCATAACATTCTAATTACAGAATTCTACAAGCCACTGAGCCTGATGAAGAAAGAATTTTTGCTACCAGGTTCTTTTTTATTGTTTGTTTTGTTTTTGAGACAAGGTCTCGCTAGTTCAGGGCAGCCTTGAATTTACTTGTAGCCCAGGCTGGCCTAGAACTGGCAGTGATCCTCTTGCCTCAGCCTCTAGGTTGCTGGGATTACAGGTGTGTGCCACCATTAGATTCTTGGTACCATCAATCTCTTTTAGGAAGCAACCATTTACTTAATCTATGCTACGGCTAACTCTGAAGACAGTTAATACCCACTAATTGGAAATGTTTGAATGCTTTATAAAATATTTCTGTATATTTAAGACAAGCAGGGGAACTGGTGTGTATCTCAAGTGAAACTTTATTACTTATAACCCCCTCCCCAATTAGCAAGCTGTCTTTTCCCTAAGTGTTTAGGTTTCAGTTAACTAGAGTGTTATCTTATTTAAGCAACAAATGTTATTATTGTAATGTTACCATTCAGTATTATCTGACTTCTCAGGGTGCTGACTTGTGAACTTGTAAAGCACTTGGAGATGTTCTTTTGCCTTTACACCCCTTATACTCATGTGCTCACTCATGGATACATACGTGCTACTAAAATGGAATGTTCACAGAACGGCTTTAACTCTGTTGCACAGAAGTCAATGGAACAGAGGGAAGAATCACTTGAATTGTTTCCTAGGGGAAGGGAAAAGTGTCAAATATGTTTGGTCTTCTAGTAAAACTCCTTAAAAGGGTCTGACCTGAAGATCTGGAAGGCAAAGCTTGTAAACCCAGTGGACCTGGGGGCATCAGTCTTAGATTCCTGCTCTTATATTAGATATTTTACTCCCTAAAACTGTTTTACTCTTTTTAATATGATGGACGTCTTTGGTCCAAAGGATATTTGAAAAATAATAGACTGTCAGATAAAAATAAGGGAAATTCTGAAAGAGGAAAGTTGAATTCCCTGAAGAAGCTATGGTTTTGTCCTCCAGGATACATCACTGTCTACTTATTAAAATCCCAGTTTAGTTGAATACAAGAAAATAAGGCCTTGTTGTTTTAGGTAGACTACGAAATGGTTTTGGCTCAGCCATTGCTTAACAAGCAGTGTCCACAATTGACCTGACACTTTTTTGTATGTGGCCTAGGATTGGATATCCAAAATTGACTCTCCATTTGTTGGGGAATGGTGGGGGTGGTGGTAGCTATTTTTAAAACCAAGATCTTACTGTGATTTATCATTTTCTCTTTTGTTTAAAGTGTCTGCTTGCTTCTTTAACATATTATTTTTGTTTCTTTTTCAGATGATTATTGGAGAAACCCTATCTGTTTACTGTAACCTCTTACACTCAAATTCCTTTATCAGGAATAACTACATAGCCACTATTTACAAAGCTATTGGAACCTTCTTATTTGGTGCAGCTGCTAGTCAGTCCCTAACTGACATTGCCAAGTATTCAATAGGCAGACTGCGGCCTCACTTCTTGGATGTGTGTGACCCCGATTGGTCTAAAGTCAACTGCAGTGATGGTTACATTGAGTACTATGTATGTCGCGGGAATGCACAAAAAGTTAAGGAAGGCAGGTGAGTGTTAAATCTCTACTATTCGTTTTATCTTTGGGATTCTCAGAATAGAAGGTCTCAGTGACTGAGAAGTGAGCCATCCACTAGCTCACAATAGGTGGGGGGAGTAGTGTAATCACTGGGAATTAACTGAAATCATATGTGTGATCTTTATTCTCTCATTTTTCCCTGTTTTAATCATGATGTTTTTGTTGCCAGTGTATAAGAATGTAAGTTGAACCTTAGAGATCATTTAGGACAGGTTCAGCAAGTACCAGATTATAATATTTGAGGCTTTATGGGCCTTATGCTGCCTTTCATAACTATTGAACTCTGCCATGGTAGCAGGACAGCAGCCGGAGATAATAATTTGAGTGAAGGGGTGTGGCTCTGTTCCAGTAAAACTTTGTTTACACAAACAGCAGCTGTCCCAGAGGTCATGGCTGGCTGAACCCTGATCTAATCCAACCATTTATGAAGCTCTTCTAGCTTGTGTCAACAGCACATACACTAAAATTGAAGCTCTGCTAGATCCATAGGTTTCTTTGGGGTATTTTTTGTTGTTGTTGTTTTCTTGAGGTGTGGTGTCATGATGCAGCTCAGGCTTGCCTTGAACTTACTATGTAGCTCAGGTACCGTGAACTCACTGTAATCCTCCTGACTCAGCCTCCCAAGGCCTGTGGTTTCAGGTGTGTGCCACCATGCCTGACAATCTTGTATTCTTAGAGTAGGTTTCTTCCCCAGGTATCTTGGCTCAGATCATGACAGTTCCTGGTCCTCAGGCTCAGGTTGCCACCTCTTTCTCCTCCTCTTCCTCCTCTTCGTCCTCCTCTTCCTCCTCTTTTCCCCGCCAGAGCTGGGGATTGAACCTAGGCAGGCCTTTTACATGCTAAGAAAGTGCTCTACCACTGAGCTACATCCTTGGTTCAAGCTGCCTTCTTACACACCCTTATTGGACTACTACTTAAATTCTAAAGCATAGTGAGGCAAAAATGAAACAGAACAGATACAGATATAGAATCCAGAAGGTCCAACTCCTTTAATTTATAGATAAGGAATGAAATGCAGGACCGTGTCACTTCCTTATCTAACCCTTACAACTGTCATCCTTACCTTCTCTGTATGGTTACCTTCCTACATTTTAAGATAGCTGTTAGTTTCCCTATTTGTTAATTATCCAGCAAATGCTCTCTCTGCGTAAGACATCCTGTGGTGGCTTACATATAATTTCAGACACTTCACTGTCCCTTTTGGTTCTCTTGTGAGCAACACAGACCTGCACAGAACCCGTTTTTCATGTTTAGTGTGGATGAGGAAACACCTTACTTAACTAAAGGATACACTGTACAGTATGCTGGGAGTTAAACCAGGAGCAGGACATCTCTGCTCCCCATCATCGTGGAGCTTGGTCTAGCAGGGAGGATGTGAAACAAATGGTAAGAATAGAAGAGAACTTTCCTGGGATGATGAGGCCAAAAGAACAGAGAGATCAGGCTGTTGAACGGCAAGCTTTGAGGGATATGGAGCACTGATGTGGGTGTAAAATCTTAACAAAGAAAGCAAAAGAGACCAGAGATAGGTAGTTGAGAAAAAGATGGCAGAAAGTTGAAAAAGATGCTGATTTGAGCTCAGCTCAGCCAGCATTTTTATAAAAGCAGTAGAGGAAAAATGGTCCAGAAGTGGCTTCAAGGAATGAGGATGATACCGCCAATACTAGAGTCCTAAGCTGCATGTGGCAGCACACGCCTGTAATTCCAGCACTTGGGAGGCTGAAGCAGGAGGGTCACTGTGAGTTTGAGGCCAGCCTGGGCTACATAGTAAGTTCAAGGCAAGCCTTAACTACATGTCTCAAAAAAAACAAAAACAAGAACAGAAAACTGGATTCTTAAGTTGTATGAGATACGGAGATCTGTTTTTTGCTTAATAGGGCTACAGGACCAAGTTATACAGAAGGCTCTTTAATTAGATGAGTACTGGGTAGGTGAGCCCTCAAGGGTAAATTTGAACTCATAGGAAAGGATGGATGGTTTTCATAAAGAACTGGAATTCCAGAGTGGACTGTAGAGAGGGTGGGAAGGATAATAAATGGCAGGGTGGAATAAGAGGAAGCTTATTGGAATTGAGACTAACATTTATCACAAATTATCAGAGAAGCAAATAGCTGTGCAAAAATATATCATGAGAAATAGAATTAAATAGAATAAAATTGTCCTGATTTCTTCTTACATTTTCACCTTTACCATAGAACCTTTTTTATTTTTTATTTTATTTTTTGCTTTTTCTCCAGTACCGGGAACCGAACTCACGACCTTGCACTTGCCAGGCAGGTGCTTTTGCTGCTGAGCTAAATCCCCAGCCCCATAGAACCTTTTTAAAAAAATTACAGTTTGGTATAATGGCACATGATTATAAGCCCAGCACTTAGGAGGCTGAGGCAGGAGAATCCTGAGTTCTAGGCCAGCTGAGGTACATAGTATGAGTTCAAGACCAGTGTGTACTACATAGTTGAGACCCTGGCTCAAAAAAGAAAAAAAAAAAAAATGCATATTTATGAATGCAGAGATGAAAAACTACCTCTAAGGACTTAAATCACATATGCTTCTTGACTTAGTATATGGCTGTGGCATAAAATCTCATCACTATTGGAAATACCTGAGGTCAAAAGTGTAGTAATACAACTAATCTACCAAGCGTCCTAGCTTGGCAGTGAGAGTGTTGTACTGCGTAGCAGTAAGATGGGAAAGGACCAGAATCTGAAGTACAGTTTCTGTTAAAGTTTCTGTATAAAGTTGAAATATTGTAAATCACACTATTGTAAGCTGAAGACTGTCTTTATTTAGGTATATTCCCGTACCATAATGTCTGCCGGTCTACCATCCCCTGTGCTGCCCCCAGTCGGCATTCTGTCCTTACACGTTTGTGTTGAGGAGCACTGATGCTGACTTAGAGCGCTGAGTGTTGACTTAGAAATAAATGAAGGACTCATTCTCTGCGATCAGAGACTGATCTAGGAGTTACCATCGGCTTTTTGTCTGGCATTAACGTCCGACTTGTGCGTGCTGGCCCTTTGTTAGTGTTCTTGCCCTGCTGGTGATCTTTTTGCAAGGCATGGAGAGTGGTGGTGCCTCACTTGGATGAATGAGGCAGCGAGCGCAGCGAGCACCCCGGCTTCTGGCTTTTCCTTCTCAGTTTTGTACTTTTCCACTGAGTCCTCTGCTTGGTGTCTCTGCTACCAAGAAAGTCATTATGGTAACAAGGGTTCACCTGAGCTCCAGGAAATATCTTTGAAATGATTCTTAAAGGATGCAGATTTTTTACATGCCCGTTGTTTCTGTTTAGCTATATAGATCTCAGCTCTGGATTTTCTTGTAATGAGATATCATACTCGGGTTTTTTAACACAAGACATTTTGGCAAAATGTAAAATAATGCAATTTACTTAAAAGTGACAAAAAATAATTATTTTTAAATTCTTATATGTCACATTCTCTCAGTGTCTATTCTAGTATGTGTAAACTGGCTGACATGCAATTACTATAATTATATTTTTGACCCAAGGACACTTAGGTTTTTTCTTCTGTCAGCTTTTACAGTTTCTACATCAATATGCATGAATTACCCACTTACAGTCCAGTGTTAAGGGCTGGAAAACAACTTCTTTAAAAGCAGTAGGAAAGAAAAAAGACAGAAGAAAAAAAGTAAAAACAGTAAGGACATTTGCATAGCTCAAACTGCAGAGCTATACATATTAAAAACATTTCAATGAGAGGAACCCTTATTAAACTTGGGAAGTCTAAAACAGGAGAAATAAATGTCAAGTGGAAAAATGAAATTTTAGAAAGACTGTATGTTAGAAAAATGCAGTTCCCATCATTGTTTCCAGAATGAGTCAGTTGTTGCCAGTTTCAGAGCTGGATGATATTGGCACATAATTGTGGCTTTGCATTGCTGTTATATTGTGGACTATATTTTAGCTGGATGCAGACTTTTCTATTCCTTTTCTCTTAGATTTCGAAGGCCAAGTAAGCCAAATGGCAAAAACATTTCAAGTGCAATATTATCCATAGGTTAGAATTATGGTGTAGTTTGCTCTTCTATTTATCTTCCCAGCTTGCTCCCTTTTATAATTTTTTAATTATGTAATTATAATGCTTGACCTTGGGGAGAAGGGAACTTCAGTACCGAAATGAGTCATTTTTGTTGACCGTATAAGTGAGTCAGAGTTACGTGTTAGGAAGAGAATTTGCTCCCACAATTCTGGGTTTAGGTTTTGATTTTTTTCCTGTTGGTTTTTTACTTCCTCGCCCTCTGCCCCTTTCCTGCATTTGGCACATTTTCGTGCTGTCTGCCGTCACTGGTATCACAGAACTTACAGTGGACTTCAAATGTGGTGACCAGTAGGTCCCAGACATATAAATGAGAACATAGGGACTTTAGTTCTTATTAATTGTAATAGCTAGAGTTCTGTTCACTGTTTAATCCTGGAGAATTTGCCATAGATTAAGTGGGCTATACTTGCAGCATTACAACCTCGTTATTAAGTCTGCCATTGTTTATGCCAGTGAGAATACCCTTACTCTCTGGTTTTTTTTTTGGACAAGAAAAGACAAGAAAAGAAAACCCAAACCCAGAAAACTAATGAGCTCATAGTTCAGAACTATAGCTCCTTCGTGGGTCAAGATTCTCTCCAGACCAGTGGCTCTCAGACTTCAGTCATTTGGAGTCATCCACAGGTTTTTTGAAACAGGTTACTGAGCTGTATCATCAAGTGCCTGATTCTGATTCCGCAGGTTTAGGGTGAGACCCGAGAATCTGTGTTCCTAACAAGTCCTCAGATGTTGCTGTTGACATCACGTGACCACATTTTTGGCAGCCACTGGTTTGGATCACCTGTATTATGGGAATATTACCTTGTATGACATCTGTCTCAGGATATAGGGTGAATTTAGAATTGTGTACAGTGAGCTGGTGTATTTGTGATAATACAGTACACAAACTATTGGCTGCTTTAAGAGATATACC